TCGAATTTGAGAATATGATCATGATTAAAAACACAAAGTTTTCTCAATCAGATAATTTTAAACTTAGACATTAGTTCTGAATCTCGTTCTGTTGAAATCATTAATCATCTCTAGTTTAGTCGGAAATATTTCTATTTCTTTTGTATAGTATATTAATATACCGAGCATTGCTGCTATGACAGCACCCGTCGATACTCCACACATATAATCAAACATTGTATGTATTGGTTCACCAACAAGATCTTCAATTCGACGAAGTGCATTTATTGAAATAAGACCTCTAGAAAAGAAAAAACAAAGAAAATCAATATTCGAATATAAATAAAATTAAACGCACTTCGCACCTCATTCCACCACCATCAATGGATAATAATCGAATACCTTTTCCTCTGGGTGCTTGAACATAATTTGCTAAAGTAAGACATTCATTAATAATACCAATAAATGCTTTATCAATAACAGGTTTATGATATTCTTGTCGACGTAAATATAATAAATATGGTACAAGACGTTGCTAAGAATAAAAACAAAAAACGTAAAAATTTTAGATAATTTTAATTTCTTTTTAAAACCTTTTTTGTAAAATAATTTGCATCAGGTTGATGAAGAAGATGATTTGAAAGTTCTTCAATTCTTATTGTTTGTGATAATGTTGATGATGCTGCTTTAACTGAATCTATTAAAGATGTTGTTCGTTGTTGAAGAGTTTCAGGTGTAATCACACGTACTATTGTTTGTAATTGTTTATTTACAATTGCTTCTTTAGATTGTGAACTGGTTAAACCTGTTATACGATTACTAACTGCACTGAGTGCACCCCATCCAACACCAAGTACATTAACAGCTGCATCCGCTGCTGAACTAACAACATTTTGAGCTTGTTGTTTGGCTGTTGGTTTCGTTGTTGTTGATGATGATGATGAAATTTCATTTTTATCGATTGGTTTTGGTTCTGGAAATAATATTGATGCAAGAGATGAATTTGTACTCTGAGAACAATAGATTAGAGAAGTTCTAATTGAAGAAGATCTTTTAATAAGATATTGCGAATGATTTAACATATTATTATTGAATAAATCAATGATTATGAATACATATCTATCAATGAAAATAGAGACAGATGGCCATGTGATAGAAGGTGTGACCCAATGTTGACGGAATTATTGCTTGTATCAATGGATGTCGCTATTATACAGTATGAATTTGAAAAATAATTGATACTCGATTATCTTTTAGAATAGATGAAAATAAAAATGAATGTAATATTGTATCTTTCGATAAAACATAATTTTGAGAAACACAGATAACAAACGGAAGTCATTTTGAGTTCTTTACATGTACACAATTCATAAACACTCAAATTTGTATATATTTAATATGTGTCATTACACTTCATGACTAAAATGCAGATTTTTGTTAAGACTATCTTTTTCTCTTTTGATTCTAACCTTGAAAAACAAATTTTTTGACAAAAACTAATCAAGAATCACTTCTGTTTCTCAACGACAGTATATCTGATTGATCTAAAACTTTATTCTAATTTTAGCCTGAGTTTACAAAAAAAAAACTACAGTGAAAAACACTAAATCAAAGCATCCATTTTTGACATGTACTCAGAATTATGATATTTTATTCGAAATCGAGAAGATAAAAGGAAATAAAAAAATATCTATGACAAATTTTTCTTTAATCATCAAGATCTAACTGTCCTAAAAGTTTCAAAATTTTCTGATGTGAGCCATTGAATAAAAGTACTGAAAAGACTGAAGTTCCATAAGTCAAGGTGAAGAAATAAAGATTGTTTTGCTTAAATGGTGTGCAATTAGTATCTAAACATTGTGGCAAACAATCTAGCGTGAGTATATAAGTAAAAGAAAATAAATCCGAGAGCAGTATTCGTTTCGAAGTTCTTTTTGTTATTTTAAATTGAAAACAAAATTTTTGAACAATTTTTTTGGTCGCAAGTCTACATAGATGAAGATTCAGAATGTTGTTTAAGAGAGTCAAATGAGAATCATTCGAGTTATTACAATATTTTGGTTTCATATTTTGTTCAATAGTAGAATGTCATTAGTTTAATTACAATCTACAAAAATTCTTTTTCGTGACTTGATATGTCTGTTGAACCGAATTTCAATCATTTCCTTGTTAATCAACTCCAAAGGAAAATTATGAATTTGTTTCATTTAATATAGAAGACTCAAATCGACAAGAACTATAAAGAAATAATTACAATAACAACAAACTGTTACCAAGTAAAAATAACAAGGTAAAAAAATTCAATCATCAATTTGATAAATAGGATATTTCTGTTTTTCACACATCGTATATTTTCGTACTTGTTCAATAAGTATTAATTGTTCACGTTTGATAAAATTAATAAACGATGTTAAGTTAAAGCCATCGACACGTTAGAAGACCCGGGGTCTTCTATTCTATCTTATCGTTACAAGTTACAAGAGGGGTCTTCTATTATGTCCCTTAAAAAAGTCATATTTTTTGGTAGTCTCGCCGACAATTCTTAGTTTCAATTCATTTTTGTCCAATATATTGTTAGGAAACGAGTTTATTTCACTTATTCCACGCCGTACAATGGAGAAAAAACAGATAATACCCTGTGAAAAAAAGGAAACAATTGTTGGTAAGAAGAGCGTGCTTAAAACAATACAGTCAACATGCCTAACATCTTGGTATAATGTGCATAGCACTATTTGTTTTCCAAAGAATTAGATCTATCACTGGTAATATTTAACTTTCTCAACGGATAAATAAATGAAAGAAGAAAAATTAAACTTTTTTTTGTCAAATTTGTTAAAGTCAGTCGCTTATACTGAGGTTTGACTAACATAGACAAAACTGGTTCGTAGCGAAATGTACCACTAGCATAGTTGTTAATCCCCAGCTAATTTGAATGAATGTGGTGGTCTACGAAGAAACAGTTTATAGAAAAACAGCAGTTGAATACACATTCAGTATTTGGGATTTTTGTGTCTGTTTCGACAAATACCTTTGGATCTTTTTACGAAAAGAAATGCGTTCTCAGGCTTAGAATAAGTGCTTCATAGAGCACACATTAGCGTGTGTGTCCAAAGGCGTGCTGTTCTCAATTATGAGTGAGGTCTTTAATGATAAAAATGTGTCTGAACTTCTAGAAGAAAGTACAAAGGCGAAGAGACCTTTAATTAATACACAACGTGATTTTACTGAATGTTCCTATTTTAGAATGATCACGTTTTGTATGCTCCGTGCGAATGCACGCTGCGTTAATTAGGTCCTAAAACCACGGGAACGATTTTTTCGTATAGAAAATTTAAAGATTTTCTTCAGAGTATGCTGCAAAAGAGCACTGAAGTGACTTCACGACATGTTTTCAAGAAAGAAATGAATTTTTTAATAAACTGTTCTTTCATATTAGCTATTTCACATGATTTTTCTAACTCGAAACTGATACATCGTTAAAACGGCGTAAACAAATATTGTTCTTACTGAACTTATGTATTAATATGGTCATAAATACTAAATTTTAGTATTTATGTTTTAGTATTACTAAAACAATCAACCAGCTGCAAAAATTATTTTAAAAAAATCGATTTTCAGAAGGGGGTCTTCTAATGTGTCGATGGCTTTACTTTCTATTTTCATTACACCATACAAGGGTGTCATAGTAATTTTATTTAATAGGAACATTTCTAACGACTGTTATTAAGCAATCATAATGATCAAATTTATTGGAATGGAATGAACTTTCAGAGCTTGTAAAGTTAGTGTATCCAAGCATAACTATGAATCTAAAAGAAATTGCAAACCTTTCCAAAGTGTCGAGCAAGTTGAGTCATCCAGCCACAATAGACTCTGTGTGGATCGTTTATTTGAAATGATAAAAGCCTGAAATATGTTCACATATTCATCTGACTAGGTTTATGAAATACTTCTCTGAATTAAGGTTTACTCTCATATGTATATAAAAAGTCTAAAATGAAAGTAATTGTTATTAATCTTGTTCACACATGTTGATTCAAATAAAAAAGAAAAAGAAAAATTAATATGCAGTTTCGTCCGCAAGTATAGAATATATCCATTGGAGTAAGATGAACAGTTTTTGCAAAATGGTAATTACTTTGAGTACTAGTTGACTTGAAGCATATGAGAGAATAGATATGAAAATAGATGCATTAAAACGGCTACCAAAAAAAGAAACAACGCAATACTTGAAAGAAATGATCAAATATAGATAGTGTCTATAGATGACAGTGACGTACAATGACCTACATCTTATATCCACCGAATCCATAAATGGTTCATCAGTTCTATATTCCACAAAAAAAGTCAGTATTTCAGGATTTACTTGATCTCTTTCTTCTTCTAAAATCTAAGCAATTTCGCTAAATATACATCTGCTGGTTGCTAATGACACCAGAATGGAACATAGCGCATTGATACCAAATATCATAATTGTGAATATCTATTACGATAATATTTTTGAGCATTCATTTTCCTCTCCATGTATTTAATTACTTCATCATATGTTTTCTCATCATTTGTAAATAAACTTTCATTAAAAATGAATTCTTTTAGTACAATAATATCACTTGTCACACTTCTGTCATCTATTCTCAAACATAATAAATTGCTCAATGATGAGCGAACTGATTTTTATTTCCATGCTCGTATGTCTATTAGTTTGAAAAAGTAAAAAATATTTCAGTATAAAAGAATTAGAGTGTTGTATTTACTCATCATGTGTTTTTTTCACTGTATACGTGTTTTATTGTCTCTGACTCATACAGGTAAAAAGAAAAAGAATACAACTATCATGCTTTTCTTTTTCATTTATTATCATGCGACAGATTGCATATATAATCAAAAAAACGCTCTCACAAAGAAATCTTTTAAAAGAAAAAATGGCAAATAGTATGGATTTATTACATGCAGCTGAATGTGGTCGTTTATCAATAGTTAAAAACTTAGTATCAAAAGATAAATCTATAATTCGTACATGTCGACATAAAGATTCTCATAATCGAGCTTTTAATACTGACGCTTCAGCTATTCATTATGCTTGTCGATCTGGTCATTTAAATATTGTAAAATATTTATTACAACAAGACTCAACAATTATTAATGATATCGATATTGAATATTGGACACCATTACATTATGCTTGTAATAATGGACATATCAATATAGTAAAATTATTATTAGAATATAATGCTGATGTTAATATCAAAGATAATTATTTATTTCAAACACCTATACAATTTGCTATATATAGACAATTTGAAGATATTGTTCATTTATTAGATCCAAATATAGAATGGATACGTCGAAATTTTGATGAAATATCAACAAAAGGAAATGTATCTGTACTTCGTAAAAATTCAAATTTATTTCTTGGAAGATATATTTTAAATGAAAATCATGTTAAAGAAATAGAATTATTTCGAAATAATTCACAATTAAATGATATTGAATTAAAAAAAATTCAAGATAATGAATTATCAAATCTTAATGTTCGAATAATATTTACACATGATTTTAAAAAACATATTAATAAAACAATACAATTAGCATCAAATAATGATGATGATGATGATCCTTTTTTAAGATCATCAACAACATCAACAAATGAACATATTATGGTTTTTGAAGATAAATAAAGAATTTCAAAGATTCTTTCATAAAGTCTTTATGATAGATGCATTCAAAATGATTGATAAATATCTCCGCTAGATGTCAATTGCATAATCTAAAAATTTTCGTCAGTAATAGAAAGAAATATACTCATCTCATCTTAGGAGTTCCTTTTTTTGTCAGAAAACAAAATCATAATTTATTTTAAGTAAAATATAATCGAACAAATCAAAACAAAAAAAAAAAAAAAGAAATCATTGTCGATCTATTCGATCAAGATCACTATCAAATGTTGCTTCCGTAATATTTAATTCATTAGATAAACGTAAATAAAGCACCGATTCATCTTCACTTGTTATTTGTATTGGTGTTAATGAATTATTTTCATCATCATCATCTGTTATTAATTGTTGTTGATTATCTAATGATGTTAATGATAATGAACTAGTATTATGTAATGATTGTAATGCTATTGAAAGATTAAGTTCTGATGATGATGATGATGATGAAAAAAACATTTGTTCAAATTCATATAAAAAATTATTTGAACTAATTGTATCATTAGTACTTTCTTTTTCATCTTCATTATTAGTATTAATAATAGTTGAAATTTCTTCTTTAGTTAATATATCTATTTCTGTACTAGGTTTATTATTTATATGAGCATTTGATGTTCTTAAGAAACAAAAAAAAAATAATAATAAATAAATTTTTTTCAAATTGTTTTTTTTTTGTTTTCTTCTTTATTTACGTACTGAATATCTGGTTTTTGTAAAAGTGTTGATGCTAAACGAACAGCTAATGGAAGAAGTGCCATAGTTACATTTGAAGTTGCTGAATCAAATGTTTGTTGAAGATTACTTAATGTATGATTGAGCTATAAGATAGAAATAAATAAACAAAAACAAAA